CTATATGAACTAAAATTGTTAAAAAAAAATTTGACTTTTGAATTGAATTGTGATTTCAAACATTTCCCCCACGATGTTCATCTGGTGCTCACGTGTGTTTTAAATAGCCCCGTTGGGCACTGGAGCAGTGTCCTGGACAGCATAAGGAGCATTAATTAGATTTTAATGTTTAACAATGTTATTCGAAGTATGTTTAATACTAAGTATGTTGTTTCTTTCCTTTACTGTGAATCTGAAATATGTGATTGTAAGGCTAGATACACTTAATGCTTGGCTCTCTGGTGAAAAGTGGGCAAAGTTGTGCCCTGTCGTGGCCAGCTGGCTTCAAAATGTACGAAACTAAACTGTGACGACTCATTGTGATCAGGGGGGGGGCAGGGGAGCTGATTCAGAACTCGTCAAGGTGGTGGATCAGACTTCCACCTCCACAGGCAACGAGACGCCTGTAATAGGATGTACAGCAAGTAGGGGTTTATTTTTACGTTTGTGAAATGTTTGTGGGGGTTTTTTTCTCCCATTTGCAGAATTCATAATGGGATTTTGCCAAAAAACAAGACCCTCTTTAGAAGTTTTGGAGCTCAGTAAGGCCTTCTGTGAATGCACAAATTAAGATACAGTACACACGTTCTGGTAAATGACAGAGACAAAATCTGGCAATGTAATTTTACATAACGCTTAATTACCGTGATGATGATGTCCGTGCAGAGCTTTGAGTGGTATTCCCTGACATGTGTCGGCCTTTTCTTTGGGCACTCCAATTTCCTCCCACGTGAAGCCAAATACAGAATTGGTCAAACATCCCAATGCAAGATGCTCCTGAAAGAGGGCCTAAAGACCCAATAAGTATTCCACGGATATATGAGGGTGTGACTCTTGCATATGTACCTTGGATTGCGAGTAACTTGGTCTGCGAGTGTTTTGCAAGACGAGCAATTTTTTTAAATAAATATTAATTTGATAAACGAGCGAGGTCTTGCAATACGAGTAGTACGTGTATACGCTTTGTCTGCCGAGCGTCACGTGATCACAATTGATATACGAGTGCTTTGATATACGAGTGCTTTGGATTACCAACGAGTTTCCGGAACGAATTATGCTCGCAATCCAAGGTTTTACTGTATACATTCGTCCATTACGCCACTTTAAAAAGCAAAGTTATTCAATGAGCAACATTTCGGACAGAGGTAGCTGCACCTCTCTGGCCTCTCTAGATGCCGTCAAGAAGGCTCATTGCCAGAAACGTCTGTTCTATACTCTTTCTTTTTAAGGCAGTGTTATTGACGAATGTAATAATATATATTTTTAAAAATTATTTTTGCTTGTGCACCAATGCCAATGCGGTAACACCAAATAATATAATTAGTGTTTGTTCCCCATCAACTTACAGAGCTCGTGAACAACTCTGCATTGATGTATATAACATTGATGTGTGTAACACATATATCAAACGTGGATCAAATACAATTTAATGGGATCGCTCGGCAATCTCAGACTCCCCCGTGGAATATTCTGCTTTGTAATAATTTGAAAGCGCATGAAATATAAAATAAAAACATTTAATAATGCAGGAACTCATATATAATTAAATGCAATTCATAATGAGGGCCTTGTGCAGGTGCTTACAGTGAAAATTATTCGTGGGAGCTCTATTTTCTGACCATTTTATAATTGTTGCTGTGAGCCTATTCATTGTCAGAGCGTTCAAGCAAACACAAACCAACGGAGGAAGCAACACAATGACTCCGCGGCCGTTTAAACCCGGGCACGATCTTTGCTATTCAAAGCTATGAGGTCCTTTATTTGGGGAGGGGGCGTTCCGTGACGTTCCATGGACGCTTCATAGGTAAGGCGTGACCGCTGTTCAGTGGTGGGTCACCTGGTCAGATTCCCCATACAGCCAGCCGTGTCCCCCTCGTGTACTCGCACACGTTGCCGGCCAAGTCAGCTCTCGGCAAAAGCCAGTAGATCGATTGATCATTTACCTTTTTGGGTTAGGCCTCGTAATCACCTGGCTTAATCTGATGCCATGAGTTTCTTTATTTTGGACGGTGTCAATGGAAGGGTGTGTTTGAGCGACGTTTGTTGTATATTTACACCTGGAGGTTTCATCTTTCCTAACACGCAGTTTTTCTTTCAGTTAACATTTCGATGAAAATCCTGGTTCTTGAACATGTAAATCGCACTGTGCATTTTATTCTGAAAAAAAATTGGAAGTTGAAACTTAATTAATCTTTCCTGTCCGAGTCCGATGTGTATATTGTTGTGCGTCGTTGCTTTTGCTGTTGTATATTTTCCGTATTTTATTTTACTCGATACTTTTTAGAGGTGCTGTAATGTATTGTCGCTAAGTTCATTACTTGCTCTATCCAGTTCTAACTTGGAAAAGGCTTGCTGCCTTAATGGATACTCACCTTATGATAAATAAAGGATGAAATTATTGTCACTACTCGAAAAATAATAATGGTAATTTGTAACGCACGCAATTTTCACTTGCCCGAAGGCAACAAACATACAAACACAATGGCAAGAAGAGACATTTTAGCAATCAACAGTTGTCTTTGCCTGTAATTAAGTTTACAAGCCCTGACAAAGCCCCGACAGGCATCTGTCCGGTCGAGAATCAGTAATCAGCCTTTCCTTCAATGCCCCTTCATTATTGTAAATTTCATCCCCCGCGGCCAATCTTGAGAGAGCTGGTGGGTGGCGGTGAGGGTAGTCGAGGGGGGTTCTTGATGTGCGTTTGTTCGCCGGCGGTTTGAAGCTGTGGAGAAAGTGCACCTACTGAGGAGAGTTGTTTAATTGCTCCAGGGGTCCTACTGGCGTGAGATCGAGTTCAGCCGCTCCGTTAATTACTGCCGAGTAATTTGCATACTTTAATTGAGGACGCGGCGCGGATGGGAGAGCGCTCGTGTCAAACGAGCGGCGCGCGCTTTTTGCGTTCGCTAATTACGCGCCTACAACGTTGGCGGGGTGTTAACAGCGCACAAACGATGAAAGAGCTGCGATCGAGCACCTTTAAAGGGAAATCGGCCTAAAAATATATTTCAAAGGGCAGACAAAAAAGGCCCACGATGTGTGAATCTGGATTGTGACACGTTTCAGGTTCGTGGACACGTCGGAGGCGTGCGCTGATGCACATGGTTACAGCTGATCTAACTGCATCATTAGCGTGCCGTGCCACCCGTTACAATGTCTCCCGTGTCTTTACAGTCGGCGGAGGCTTCCAAAACGAGCCACCCTCCACTAGTCCTCCTGCATATGCCATCTCGGCGCTTTGTACTGTGCCAACATCCTTGAGTGCCTCCTCTCGCTCTCTCTCGCCCGACTTCTCTTTCTTGTGCCCTGCCTGCCAAGCAGCCCAGTGGGCACTGTCTCCGCAAATTGACGATATTTAAGTGCCAACGTGGGAGTTAATTTTCTTGTGTCTGATGTTTGATGTCAAGTATCATCTCAAAGTCTGAAGCATGCAGCCAAAGCTATTAATGAGCCTTTGCTGGTGTTGTGAAGCATCTCATTCCTTAGTTCCTGAAGCATTCTCTTCCTTGACTTAAAGCTTTCGTGACGGCAGGAATTCATACTCTTTGGGTCTTTCGGTAAAGTCACGTAGATAGAAAAAAAAAATCACCACCACTACCCGTGGTGGCCCACCTTCACGGTGTCGTGTGGCAGTCAAAAGGATACATTTTGTTATTCTAAGAGCTGGGATTTAACAAAATTAAGTGACAAGCAATCAACCCCCACTATACTTGAGAACCCGCTGTTATCACAGTCGGCAAAAACCTGGGTTTGAACCCTAGGAGGTCAGCGGTGCTAACTCAGGGCTCCGACCCCTACTTAACCTGGGTCAGAGTGCATTGTGGGTTGCTAAATATTGAGTATGGAGAAAAAAAACCCGGTCTCAGATCCAGAGAGTCGGACAGTGACTTCAGGAAACCTGTAATTTAGTCAATCTTTTATTTTTGGTTCAATGCTTGCAAATATCATTTGTGTGGGCAGAATTGTATTTTCGTCAAAAAAACCCCAAAATGTTGCCAACATATGTCAGTGTTAGATGTTGGCACCTTTCATGAGTAATTGTGAGTGAATGGATCTGACGGTATAATAATTCTCATGCAGAAAAACGAACACAAAAGAAAATTAATTCAGTACCTTGAAAAAAACTGGACAGTGTTTTGCATGAGAGAGAGGAAAATGTGAAAATGAAATACAAGAGGAGATCCCAATGTGATGGTAAATGAGAAATTGATGATCATGATAGTGGGAAGAGACGTCGAGGTAAGAGATACCAGGTAACAGGGCCAAGAAGCTCACCACAAACCGGACGGCGACTGCTGGTTTTTTATCCACCTACATTTCCCTAATCCGCGTGAAAAATTCCGTTTCACATCTTACTCGGCTCCACACAACATCGTGCATCGTGTCATTACACTGACTTGTTTTCCTGCCAAATGTGTAAATATGATACAGTTACAGTGTGGATTTGCATAGCGTCTAGGCCAAACCTGTCTCAAGAGGCTGCATTAATCATGGTGGTTGAACAAAGGGTTTTTTATGGTGGAGGAGGAAAATTGTATTTAGTGGGGTCACACGCAAATAAATAATATTTTCCTATACAAATACCATTGACATTATCCACACTCACACATGTCGTGTATAATTGAAAATACAAAAAATATTTATCCTTTGATACATGACGTATTGATTTCTTTAATGTGCAGCAAAAAATCCAGGCCAAGCAATTTGTGTTTCCATTCCGTAAAGATGCCTTGTTGCAGCAAAAATCCACGCCAGTTTTTGCAGCCTGCCCTCAAAGCGTCCTTATAAGGATTGTGTTCCCACCCACATTTGCGTGTGGCTTTAGACATTGTGTTGTAAGGCACGGGCTGTGCGTGTGCCGGAGTGGGGCGGGAATGACGGGGTGATGGGGTGGATGTGTGACTTGGGGGGGGGTGGGTAGGAGGTGGGGGTGGCTGGGAGGAGTGAGCCCGTGAGCCAACGCTGACGCTTCGTTAGCAGTGGCAGCAGCTGTGTTTACAGTTCCTTCGTGCGCTGCACCGAGATGTCAGCAGCTCCTGTCGTTCGTCGGCGGCGCGTGGAGACACCGCACGCACGGTCAACGACGCGGCGGGCGCTGCGCAGACTGTCTTTCGATTGAGCGGCTCGCGCGAGCGGGGACCCGTGCGTCGGAGATGTCGTGAGTGCTTCTGCCGTCCTCCCGCTGCCGTGACGATTGAGCCTGCCCCGAGGTGAAGTGCCGCACGTCGCCACCAGCGTCAGCGTGGTAGCGTTAATCCCCACGCGCGCCGCTCGAGCGCGTTGTGCAAGCTGTCAGGTGCGTGACCGCGAAGCGATGTAACGTGGCGTCCTGGGCGAGCCTGCAGCTGCAGCTGCTGTAGCTGATGCCAATGCTACTGCTGCTGCTGCTGCCATCGCCACAGTGGAGAGGGGAGGGAGACTGCTGCATGAGGAAAGAGGGCCTCGAGACGCTGGGCGATGAAGGCAGCGTAAACAATTGATTTTGTTTACCGTCACGAGGACGCGATGATGGACCCGCACGACTCCCCAGTGCCGGGTCGCAAGGGCGAGTTTCAGAGGAGGACCGTGTGCCGCATCTCCGTGACTTTGGTCAGAAAGGAGCCGCTGGCGCTCAGGGAGGACGGCTCGGCTCCCGCCGGCGAGTTCGCCCCAGCGGCCAAAGGTCGCGACGTTGCGAGCGCTCTTAACGGAGATTGCGCCGGCCGAGAAGGGTCGCGTGCCGGCAGCTACGAGAGCCTGACTCGGAGTGGCCTGGTCATGGGACACCAAGGAGCCAGCGGGAAAGCGCACGGCGATGGGCGGTTCGACACCAAGGTCCTCCCGTCCAACGCGGCCCTCCAGCGCGCGCCGCCGGATCATTTCAGCCGTGGGGTGATGCTCGCCGAGCAGGAGGTGCACAGTCGGCCCTCGAAGGGAAATGTCCCTGCCGGTGTGGACGGCGCCGCTGGATCACCGGAAGGGAGTGCTGCTGGTGCTGCCCCCGGGAAGAGCGGCAGGGACGGCGCCGATGCTCAGCCGTGGCGCCCGGCGATGGCGCCAGAGCAGAGGAAGCGCGCTCACACCATCAGCTGCATCACGGGCCGCGTGGACGTGCCACCGCCCAGCCCGAGGGCCCTGCATCAGACAGTGTGGCGCCGAAACCCGGAGCTCGTGTTCCTGCTCGGCGAGAGGGCCCGCAGGAGCGCGCGGCTGCTGCGGGAAGAGCGGGCCAACCGCTGCCTCCCTCCTGGTCGGGATGGGTTGGAACCGGGGCTGGCGGAGCAGGGCTTCCAGTCCACGTCTGACGCTGCTGGTCAGTGCCCACCCGCCTGGCATGAGCCTCACGAAAAAGAGAAACATTTTCAGAAAAAAAATGATTTACCTGTGGATTCTACTTCGTCCTCTCCAGCACATTCATTTCCCAAAGTGGAACAGAAGCCACATATGGAGGCTGTTAAACCGGCCACCCATGAAGGTGATGCAAATCAATCGGTAACGTTCCAGCCAGATGCTTGTAACCCCCGAGTAAAGCCGCGTAACAAAGCCACGTGGGAGGAGGGCTCTGAAGGGAGCTCCAGTGCATCCACTCCCTCAGGACGCCTGTGCGTGGAGGCCGAGCGGCAGACAAATCCACAGGTGCACAGCGGCGGTGGGGGCAATGCCATCGATGCCAGCGCAGGCGACCAAGTCCAGAACAGTGAGGCGGAGATGGTGGTGGCACATCACAGGGCTCGATCGCACAGCTGCGCAATGGCGACTGCCGCCGAGGCCCTCGCTCGTAGGAGATTCCAGCCGGAGCTGACGGACGTGCCGGAGACGGCAGCGAGCAGACAAGCCCGCCCGGCCCTGCGGAAGAGAAGCCTGAGCCTTGGCCAAAAATTCCGAGAGCTGTCGCTCGGGAGGAAGCTCTCGAGCATGCGCGGCCGAGGCGGCGGCCCGTCGACGGACGATGAAAAAGAGAGCGGCTCTCCGGGTGGCGGTGGCAGAAACCTGTCGACCGAGCCGAAGGATGGCGAGACGAACGGTGAGGGCGGTGGGCGCGTGGTCCGGAGTCCGCGCAGAGATAAACCGGCGGCGGAGGAGGGCCGGGTGAAGAGGCTGCTGAGCGGCGCGTTCATCAGGAAGAGGGACGTGGTCTCCGCATCCCCATCGCGAGGGGTCCTTGCCGGCAGCTGGGAGCTGCTGCCCGGGGCCCTGCAAGGCGGCGCTCGCGCCAGCGACGGTAACAGCCCATCTCGCCTGCGTCGTGGGGTTGCTCGGATTTTGGGTGGAGTTTGGGCTTAGCCGGTTCGGTTTGTGCGGTGCGCAAACGCGTGCTCTGTAGTTTTGTGCTCGTGCTGTTGGCTTGCACTCTTGTTATGTGTTTTGTGTAGGTCTCCTTTTTAAAAGAGATTGGTGCTCGTTTGGTGTAAATTAAGGTGTTTATTCATTCATTCAAGACTGATCAGTGGTACTGCTCGAAATGAATTACGTAATCGGAATTAACTGCCCTTTGTGAAACCATTGCTGGATGAAGGCCTCCGCCATGCTGTGTTGGTCGTGGGGGTTGTTTGACCATACTTCACCACATAAGTGATTGTGGGTTTATTACGGTAGAGGGGCCCAAGACCAATTCATATATGTATTATTCGCCACCTTACCACTGATATGCCATATTGTGTCCATGGAGATAATAAAGATAAGGTCATTCAACACATTTTCATAAAATTCTATTGGACAATTCTAAAAATCACATTTTCATACAACATGCCTCTCATGGCTGTAACATCGATGGAAATACTTATTTTTAGACGGAAAAAAGTTTTACAACCAATTAAAAACACACGCCTAGCATAAACTATCGGATTTTATCATGCGTATGTTTTAAACAAAACTCTCTTCATGCGGCAGAAAACTTCAGAGCCACTTGAGTGAACTGGCAGTGGCCGCTCAACAGCACGTGTTTACATTTTATTTTTAAAAAACGACACTGAAGCTGCCATTGAATTTGCGTGCCAGCTTGTTTGCGCAAAATAAAAATGCCGCATTCTGTAATTACGAGCCCAGGTTTACCAGCCCAGGTTTATTTTATGAGGTTCGGTTTTTATTGTGCGTACACGTGTGTGCGTGTCTGTATGTGTGTGTGTTTTTATTTATTTAGGCGGCTGGGTTTATGTTCACGGAGATGGCTTTTTTTTAGGGAGTGTGTGTTTGTGAAGGGATTCAGGCGTGTCGTGTCTTCGTGGCAGACACTTTAGGGATGTGGCATCTTTGGGGGGTCCATCCTTACCAGGGTGTTTACTTGTTGTAAAGCAGCCATCTCAAAATTATCAAAACAGCACGGGCGTTACACAACCTAGCACACGCGGCTGGCAAGAGGCACTCGCCTGTCACACCTTGAAACCAGCACGAGCTTGGAGAGAGAGAGAGAGAGAGGACACCCTCTTCCACGCCAGTGGAGTTCTTCTTATGTAAAGGAGGCTGCTAAGGAGGATGATGATGATGATAATGATGATATTGGTTTTCAGTCCAGGCTTTCAGAAGCTATGATGGATTCTTCGTCGCCGAGTGCTGGCTATTGGAGCAATGGCTGTGGTAGCTCGGTGTTGGCTGTCAAAGCTCACTCCAGGCTGTTGTGATTCAGTGCAGGCTGTTGTAGTCATAGACATGCAATGATTAAAATTCTCCTGCCCTCAAGTTAATCGGCGAATCGTTGGAATGCGGTGGCCATGATTTGATCGAAGAATCAAAAATGTCTTCCCTACCTTTTACCTTCTCATTTGTATTGTTTATCATATTTTGTCTCTTTGGGTAGAGTTTTGTTTTAAAATGTAAATATTTTGGATGAACCGCAGATAATCAATTCTCAGGCATACAATTGGATGCTTGTATCGCGAGCATAAGAATCGATGCATCGTTAATGCTGAGCAGCAGCGATGGCTGTGCTAGCTCAGTGTTGGCTCTTGGAAGCTGACAAGCAGGCTGCTGTGACTCGGTGCAGGCTGTTGTAGCAGTTCATCGCACACTGCTGTAGATCACCGCTGGTTGTTTCGATCAGCTCTGGCTGTTGTAGTTCAGCGCCAGCTCTCACAGCTCATTTTGGGGAGTCGTACAGCTCTGCTGGCTGTAGTAAATCTGCTCTGGCTGTTGAAGGGAAAGAACCTCCCTTCTGTGAAAGTGCCATCACCAGCAACTGCTACACAAGAGTTTTAACCTTGACAGCAGGAATGTTTGCATCTTCTAAAAGCTATTGCGGCGTTATAACTCGGCAAAGCTGCCACGTGTGAGCCCACCTGCTCGCTCCACCATGCCAGATTTTTGCCCGAGTGGCATCCTGCTTTGATCAGCATGGCAGAGCTCATGAATGTTTAGCTCAATCCCCGTCACCGATTCGCTCCACCGTGGCTGTGGCTGTGGAAATTTGTCGATGGCATGAAGGAAAAGTTGTTGTTGATTGCTGTTGTGTTCAACTAAACTCTTTTTATTCTACCAGGTGAAGCTATAACTATAGCTTTTTCATAAGCGACCTGGTCACAAATGATAGCTCAACGAAGTGGCCTATCATGTGGAAATGTATAGCAGCCTAATAAATAATTTTAAACACACCAGGTGACTTAACTCCCAATTATGTTGACTATACAACCTTTACCTATAGTTATCGCACGAGCAGTAGGCACAGGTCTGCGTCCGTCACCAATAGTTGCATAGATGGAATATTACAATCGTACAGAATTGGGGAGTGATTGGCCAACAAGCCATGGACCCCAGCGCCCTCCATAGGCTGGAAGGGGACGTTGGCGACAGTGCGGTATGACTCCTTGTATCCGTGACGGCAGTGGGGAGCGAACTTCGCGGGAATGCCGTCTGTAATCTTATCCTGTAACCACTATGGAACCATTTTCTGGTTCGCCACCACTGGCCTTCCACTGTAAGGCCTTGGCTCAGGGTTCGCGGAGAAAGCGTGTTCGACGCTGAAACTCGATCCCCTGAGGCCTGTCCCATCTCTCGCGAGCAAACGTCCCCAAAAAAGGCTCGGCAGAAACGATGCAGGAACTCGCGTGGGCACAGCCGCTGTGACAAAACGTATATTTAGGCGATGATAATTATTTCTTTTTTTTTTCCCCTCCAAAAATATCGTTGCGGGTCGCGAAAGGATGGGAGTTTCTTGTCGTGTGCCGTGCACATGGCGTGGGAGAGCTTGGATGAAGAATGGGTCCCCGTCGGGAACTGACTTTGGGGACGGTTTATCAACCACTCCCTCATTGAGCCACACCCTCTCGTGTGCGAATGCTCACATTTACAATCCCCGCATGATCATTATTCGTATCATTGTTATCCGCCAGAGTTTCTGCCCGTGTGTGTGTGTGTCTATCTGTAGGGGTTATCTCAGGTCGTGGTGTGCTTGCTGTTCTTTGTGTCCCTGTCTTGTTGATTGTTGTTTGTGTTACGTTTCTCTATTTCTGTTGCCCGATGTCTACTTATGATTGCGATACATATTTCAGTTGCCACAACTGATGACTATAACTGTCCCCCAGCCTTTATCCGGCAGTATTTTGTCTCTCAGGTTGTCTGCAATTGAATCCCCCTGTCTATCTGTTCCGTGTGAGTCACGTCCATTTCTTCATCCCTCTGTCCCTCACTAAGCTGGCTTATCTGTCTGTCAGTCCAAACGTCTTTCTGTCCATCTATATGTATGCAATCCTGTCCATTCATCAATGGGTTCATCTGTGTGTCCGTCAATAAAAAACTCAAATGGATGTTCAGCTTTCAGTTATTCTGTCCATTTGTCTGCTTGTTTTTGCATCTAGTCTCCTGTTGATATGTCTGTCCCTCTGTCCGTCTGCTTGCCCGACTGCCTGTCTATCGGCCTACCTGTCTGTTTCCCCTGCCTGCTTGCCCGTTTGCCTACGTGTCTGCCTGTCCATTTCCATCTCCGATGAGCATGGTTGACAACGTACGGTGCGAACAAACTTCAACGTACATCTCTTTTCTCCTCTCTCTAACCGCTGCCCCCCCCCCCTACTCCACGTCGTCCCGTGCCGAGGGCCCCCCCCTCCTCCCCTGTGCCGTGCGCTTGCGAGGAGCTGCGAGCGGGGCCGCGTTACCGCGAGCGCCACTTTTATTCGGCACCAAACCCACGGGAGAGGCTCGAGATCAAAGCGCGCGGAGCCTCCTCCCGGCCGAGGATTTGCGCGCTCGCGTTTTTGGCCTTTGGGGTTAAACCGTCTCTCTTAAGCCCCGCGTCGCTCGGGGCGTCCGTCGCAAGCCTCTCTCGTGCGTTATTTTTAAGAGCTCGAGGGAGGAATTTTTCGTCCCCCCCACACCCCTCCCAAAAGGTTCGCTCGCCCTGCTGTCGTAAGCAGCTGTGGCTGTGGCGGCGGCGGTAGCAGGGGTAGCACGGCGTAATTGGGACGGCAAAGGACGACCCTGAGCCCGGCAAAAAACGTGCTCAGTTGCGTGATTTGATACGGAAGGGGGGGGGGGTGGTGGGAAAAAAATCAACTAGGCACGATGCTAGTGGGAGAGGTTCTTTTTGTGACGGCGAGTCGAGGCGCCTGCGTCACCTCGACGGCAAGCCCGCGCACGACACGCGAGTGGCATTCGCGACTCTTAATTTATGCAAATTAAGCCCCAGCCAATTGCAAATGACGACACGACGATGAAAAAAAAAGCACACGGTCAATAATTAATGAGCGACGTGACATTGGGAGCAACGACAGCCTGTTCTGCTTCGTTACTGGGCAGAGGCAACATTGTCTCGAGTCTCAATTTGAATATCGAGACGAGCGCGTGAGAATTGTCGGTAACTTGAGCGTTTGTGATTACAGTGGAAAAGTGTAATTAGGCTTTCGTGTTGCACTGTATGAGGAATGGAAAATTGTTCAGCCCTGCAATTGATTGCAATTGATTGCAGGGCTGCAATTGATTGCAGGGCTGCACCGCTGGGTTGGTGAGATGTTAACTACCTCGCCTGGTAGACAGGAGGTCGTGGGTACGATCTCGACCCTGACGCCTATTGCATATTTGGAGTTTGCATGTTCTCTCTCCATGTGGTAGCGTGGATTTTTCTCCGGGTCCTCCGGGTTTTCCCTCCATATCTAGAAACATGTGATTAGAATATTTGGCTGATAAAAATTTCCACATGATTGGGCTATCATTTGTGGCCAAGTCGCTCCTGAAAAAGAGCTTGTATAGCGTACCAAAAAAATCCATAAAGAAGGTACATCACTCCGTCCTATCGTC